GATAAGGGAGTTTGAGAGAGAGAAAATAGGATGTTTTGGGGGGGGCGGTGGGGGAGGGAGGTTTTGGGGATGGAGGAGGGGGGGGGGGGGGGGGGGGGGGGGGCGAGGGGGGCATATTCCTTGCGGACTACGCATTTTTGGTTCAGCTTTTGGATCATGCCCGCACCCCACACACAACAGCGATGAGTACGCATTGTTTCAGCTTTTGGATTATGTCCACACCCCACACACAACAGGGGTAACAACAATACCGAAGACAAACCCACCTTGAGTTGCCCGAGGCAGTACGACACGGCGCGGGCCTGACGGTCCGTCTCACTTGCGGCCAGCCGGGCGCACAGCTTCTCGGCGAGGAGCTCCGTGAGCTTGTCCTTCTTCACGTACTGCATCAAGAAGTCTGGACACGCGGAGCAACACAGTACAGTGCATGACCAAGAGCGGAGAGGTTCGTATGGAAGGGTGGTTGTTCTCCGGCATTGCGACGCGAGAGGGGTGCCATTAGATATAGATGGCGGCAAGCCACAGCAGTGAGCAGTGATCATCGGCGTCAGACTCGTCCAGGGTTCTACCGGCGTGCTGGGCTTGGGAGGCCTAGCACCCTACGAGGTTGCACACCGGACTTGGGCGAACGATCAAAACAACGTATCGCCCCCCCACGGTACCGGTTCTTATGGCAAGCGTCAGAAAACAATCTCCCCTTGGAGTTGTTGATACGGGCTACTTCAAACCTCACCCATAATCTCTTGGTACTCGTGAGGGTCTAGCGTCTCGTCGAGGCTGAGGCGGCCTACGATGTCGGGCAGGACGTTGTACACGGGGTTGGTTCCACGCTGGCTCCATGTGACACCAACAACATCCAGCAGCGGTACAGTGTACGATGCGAAGAGGCGGCGCAAAGCGCGCGCAGGGGACGGGAGGTGGTGAGTGCAAAACGCCATTCAACCAGGAAAACCCGAGGTTACGAAACGGGAAAAGAGTGAGATTTATCCGGGAATCGTTCCAAACGGAAAAAACAGCCGGCCTTGCTGAAAGCCAAGCACCACCAGCACGCCAACAATAACCACTTCAAGCACCAAGTAGTTTCGTTGGGGAAGGTACTACAGAAACGTACAGCACGAGAGTTTGCCGTTGGAACGAGCAATCGCCACCGGTTCGGTTCGGTCCGGTCCGGTTCGGTTCGGCACGGCACGGTTTCTTCGTCGTACGTTTGCCATCTCTGTCACTGCGACTGGCTTTGCTCAAGTTCTCCTGGCCTTTACCGTCGTAAAAGTTAAAGTTACAACATGAGAGGCACCTAGAAAACACGCTTCTTAGGCACGGCCAACAATCCATCACGAAGTATCTGAGTCGGCAGTTGCTACGGTGTGTTTGCCGGGAAGGGGGACGGGCCCGAGAAGAGGAAGGAACCGGGGGGGATCAGAGAAACCAGCCATCGGGGGTTAGGTTGGAGGTACACCAGTGGACGAACCTCGGAGTACTTGTTGAAGAAAACCTTGGCCGCGTCTTGGATCCTCGGTTCCTCGTCCACCATACACACGGCCAGCGCGCTGACTTGTCCCTTTACCTGTAATCGGGGGAATAACGAGCGGAGCCGTACGCAAGGATACTCTGAGGGTAGGAAAGTTAAGCAATCATCCGGCACCAAGGCCATGACATGGAAAGTCAATGGAAAGCCGAGCAAATAAGAAGATGTACTTTGCGGTGCTGGCTTGTTCGTTGTGGGGAATTCGATACCTTCTGCACACGCACAAACCGGAGTTTACGTCGACGTTGCCGTTAGCCTACCCCAGAAGCCCCGGCGTACGTAGCTCGAACGACTTGGCGAAAGTTGATACCACATCAAACAGACACGCGGGACACACACATCAAAAACCGGTGCCGAACCAGCCAATACTGCTGCGCCAATCTGCAGATCTCGACGCGCGTCCGGCGTTGTTCTTAACGAGAACAACTTCCCCACATGGAATCTCGCACGCAGTACCCTCCTCACCTTCACCATGTCGTTGAGGATAAGGTGGGTCAGGACCATGATGGCGTTAGCGCGCACGCCCGGGCTGTCGTCCTTGAGCCGGTTGTAGATGTGAGGGTTCCATGGCTCGAGAGCGTTGGGGAATCGGAAAGCAAGGTCTCCGAGCGCCACGATGATGTTTGCCCGCACCTGCGTGTATGTCACGTGCGTGTGTTGTTACTATTAGCATCGACCGCGCAAACCGGCTAACCAATGAAAGACTTCAGTCTCAGTGCGGTTGAAAACACATGTGTCTGTGTGTGGGTGACATGTGTGTGTGTGTGTGTGTGTGTGTAGTATGTAGTGCAGATGAATCGTGAGGGAAAGACCCCAAGAAGGAACAGTCACGACAACGTTCCGAACTGCCATCTTCAGCTCGCTTTTCAGAGCCTACCGCTTGAACGAAAATTTGCACAACAATCCAACACACACCACTGCCTCCTAGGACGAAACTTCAGCATTGATGTCAACGATGCACACGACATATGATGGGGCGTAAGTGTAGGGGGCGCAACTGACCGACAACTCAGGTTGGTCAACGAAAGTCATGGACGACCTCAAACAACACAACACACAACCACGTACGACGCACTCCATCATGCTGTCGACAGTCGAAAGATTTGCCGCGTGCGCTGTGGGCATCACAGAACACTTGCACTCCCACTCCAGGTCCCCTGGACCAACACTCGCCGCCCTCCACGGCACACATCTACGCAATCTCCGTCGCCAGAAACGGGGGCTCCGGTAACTTAGGACGTACTGTAGCACGGGCTCCACCGCTGCAGTAGTGGATCCCGCCGGAAAGCCGGTAGGTGCCAGCCTCTTGAACCGGCACCATAGCGGGCAACCTTCCTCATTCAGAGTATGAAACAACCTGCATATTCCATCTGTGTCACGCGGCATCACCGGCAATTATATGGGGACCACTACTTTAAGCATGTCGCTAGGCTTCACTCAAGGACGTCAGTCTCGCATGCCAACGCATCGCCGATCGCTCACCGCCGTGTCATTGGACCTCTCCAGCGTGGTGAACAGGAGGCTGAGGTTCCGCTCGCAGAAGGCCTCGCTGATGCACATGAACTTGCTCAGGGCCAGCACGGACGACTCCCGGACGAGCGGGTGCCCGAAGCAACCGCCCTCGTCGGCCACGAGCCGCACCTGTTCGTCGTCGAGAGACGAACCAAACAAAAACAAGATGATCGACGACGAAACGGAGTTTTTTTAGGGTGGAGGAAACGTGATGGACGTGATGGATAAACGAACGGAGCGTAAGGGTGGAGAAACGTGATGGGCGGGGGACCGAGGAACAGCCAACCGGGGAAAGATGAAAGGTGTCGAGTCAAACTGGGGGGCCGAGAAAAGGGTGAGGAGGAAGAGGAGAAGGGGCGAGTGGCAAGTAACTGCTCTCAGCTTTCTTGGAAAACAGCGGTAGTCGTATTGCCACCAAGGTCTGAACACGGCCTCGTACCCGGCAATACGCGGCTCCTTGATTCTGGTTGTCCCGACACTAGTCATTCCGCATGAGACCAATCACCAGAAGCAGCAACAGCGCAGCAGCAGCAGCATACCTCAAAATGAGGCAAGACTCCCAATCCCAAGACCGTACGTGTGGCATGGGACCGAACGCCGCTCTCTACCTCAACAGACCAAGTAGGAACGTGGTTTCTCCCTTACCAAGCACCCGTCCCTCAAAGCAATACTTGTAGCTGCTGTACGCGTCATCAATCGCCTCTTCTTGTACTGACCCCCCCGCCCCCCCCCCTCTCCAGGGTACGGAATAAGCCTTACGGTAAGCCTGAAAACCAGCAAAAAGTGACTTGCAGCAAGCACTCACGAGCAACGGGCCGAACGCTCCGAGTAGGTTGCGCCCAACGATCTCCTTCTCCACGAGCTCGGTAAGGCGCTGCTCGTCCTCGGCCGACGCCTTCTCATCGGATTTTCGGAACACGAACACACACACGCACACACACACACAGGCGCACAAGCAATTGGATCAGAACAGACAGAGCGCCTCTCTTAAGTTACATTGCGAGTGAAAAAGAGGTTCTAGAAGACAACGCCCGAGGACCACGAGCACCGCGCTACGATGCCCAACCTCTTTCGTGCTTGCTTGCTGATTACTGCGTCGTGCCTCCCTGCGGGAGAGGTGCGCTTGGTCTTGGCTCCCTCACCTCGGCGTTCAGGCCCAGCTCTTGGGCGGTGGCGTCGTCATCGTCGCTCGAGTCACCACCACCGCCCTTCTCCTTCGTCGGGGGCTTGACCTTAGCCCTCGCCCTCTCCAGGTTGCCCGCGAGATCCTACGGTACAACCCGCCGACATATGGCAGCAGGTCAGCGCCACGGACCAACATAGAAGTAAAAATCTCGTGAGCGTTGCTGAATAAGCAGGGGTACTTGGGTAGATCGGGGGCGTTTAGTTGAAGAGCCAAATTATCCTTAACAACAGGGCAAGCCGATGTCACACACAATAATCGGCTAGATGTTTGTGGTTCCAACAGCAGCAGCAGTGGCAACAACGCTAGGTCATTCACGTCAAGCTTTCCAGTCTTTGTTGAGGAACAGCAACAACTACCAACAACAACAAGCGTACTCAAGAGAGCATCCATTGTGAGCACGGGAAGGAAATGCGCAGGAGAGAATTAAACACACAGAGCGATACAACTCGAAAAAAACACGAAGCTACCAACCGTCGTAAGCCTGTGGAAACAACATAGTACTCAGCACCGCACCTCGACGCTGGCTGATTGTCTCACAGAAAAAGACAAAATAAAAGGCTAAGTTGTTCTTTCGAGAGAGGAGGACGTCTGTCAAGTGATCAACTCAAACCCACACACTACCACATTACTACTGATGGACTAGAACCCCCAAGCTCCTATGTATATTTCAACACAATCCTTTACATGTGGTCCCTGAAACCAATCAGCGAAGGATTCTGACTTTTGTTTCTCATCGCTTCCCATCGGCGTTCTCAGTGTTCCCGTACCACAAAGACACCAACCGAATCCAGTGGAGCAAAACCAGTGCTGACTCCTAATCCATGAATATCCCCTCCCCCGCAAACCAAATAAGAACGAAGACACCCTCTCCCCCCCCTCCCAAAGTAGGAAGGAACGATTGGCCATCGGTGATCGGTCCAGTGGGAACAATGCTCCGTCCTTTCGTTTACTCGTGGTCAACGGTCTAACCGCTAAGGCATGTAAAACATAGTAGTACACCCCCCCCCCACCCCCCGTATCAACACACCTCCGAGTAGACGAGAAGCTTCAGCGCGAGGTGTCCCAGCACGAAGCACAGCCTGGCGAGCGCATGGGGCGACGCCGAATCCGAGGACAGGGTATCCGCGGCGATGCGGCGGACAACGGCCGCTCCCAGAGCCTCGGGGGCACGGTTGAGATGGAACAAGACAGCGATGGCCTGTGCGTATATCGCGTGCAGCAGCAGTGTATGTAGCGCGGCCAGAGGGTATAGGTGGGTGCCATGCCGTAAGATTGATCATAGGTAGATTGGGAATTAAACACACTCACGCCGCCCCCACCCCAAACCGGTTCTGTCTTTCATTCGGGGAGTAGCTTAGCCTCTCCCCCCATGACGCCCGCTCAGCCCCCCCCCGATCATGGCCTTCAGAAGCAGGTTCTGTTTTGTAAGCCGCACTGAGACTGACACATTTTCTTTGACCAGCGGGCTACCGCGGTCAATGCTATTAATAAACACACACACATACAACTGTCGATCCAACACTGCGTCCGCCCTGTCGGTAGAAGCCTTACCTTATTGATTAGAAAGTGTTCGTGTTTTGGTATCCCGCTACAAGACTGACGCCTTGTCTTTTCGTTGGTCAGCCCGTTAGCGCGGTCGATGCCACAAAAAAGACAACACACACAAACCACACCTGCTCTGCAGCGGCGAACCAGCTCTTCATCTCCGCGTCGGCCGCAGCGCGCTCCTCGTCGCTCGTTTCTCCCGTCACCGCGACGCACCACTTCCCCTGCAAGAAGTAGATGAGCCTGGGCAGGATCAAGTCCACCTCCTTGCTCTTGAGGACCACGCCGGGGTCACACCTGTCCATTTAGCGTTTTTCGTATATACGCCGACGCCCAAAGAAAAAAATAAACGAAGCACAGGTTCCGGTAGAGGGGGAGCCAGAGTTGTAGGGTTGACTACGTGTCAGCAATCGATTGATCGATGTGGAGCACAAGAAGCTGGGCACCACTGACAACGTCACTTCAGCCGCAACTACAACACAACACCGTCAGTGTTCGCGAAAAGCCTGTACACCCCGTGATTTTAAAAAAATCACTCGATCACCAGACGACAGCCCTTTGGTACGTGACAGCCTACAAGGCAGACTGAAAGAAGCTTTTTCTTTCCTTCGAGATCGTGTCTGCTACGAACACCTTCTTCGTTAGTCACGAAACAACTTCGAAGTACTCGTGTGCGACATACTGCACCCCACTGGAGAGGGTTTTAATGGTAAGAGGTAAGGGGTAGGCGTCATTGACGCTCGTGTGGACATTTCGCGTTCTGTTCACTATATGTACTGCTGCACACAACACGTACACACAGCAAAATCGGGCAGCATCAAAACCCGCGCCATCACCCCCTGCTCTCGCACCTCAGCAGAGCGATGCAAGCACACCGCACCGTGCGCCAGTCCCGCGACTCCATCGTGGCGCGGCCGAGGGCAGTCTCGCGGATCACCTCCAGCCTCGAGAGGTCGTTCACGAGGGTAGGGTTGGCGGAGGAACCCATGGCGATGGCGTGAAGCGCGCCCGCGCGAGCCTTGGGCGGCTGGTCCTTCCGCCCCACCGCGCACCACAGCTGCTCGAAGATCTGTTACAACACGGCCGGGAAGAAGCAGAGTAACACGAACAAAGTTGAGGTCAAGTCCTCCCTTGCCATTAGCCCGGTAGGCGAGAAACAGACGTGCTGTCAGAACCGAGCAATGCACCACGCTCGACCGTGAGAAACTCCCCCCCTCTCCTTGGCCAATGGTCTAACAACTAGGGCAGGCGAAACATGAGTACGCGATGTGACACATAGCCTGGCTCGTCCCGGCTTTGTATATCCCCCCCCGGTGTTTGCCATCGGGGTTGGGTTTTCGTCGCTTGGCAACGACGTTGTAAAACATGCCGCCCCCCCCGGTGTTTGCCATCGGGGTTGGGTTTTCGTCGCTTGGCAACGACGTTGTAAAACAAGCCCCCCCCTCGGTGTTTGCCATCGGGATTGGGTTTTCGTCGCTTAGCAACGACGTTGTAAAACAAGCCAATTCACTTCGTGAACTCGGCAACCAGGTTACCTTTTTTTTTTTTTTTACCTCTGTTTTTTTTTTTGCGGTAACCATAATGGTGGTCGAGTAGATCATGTTGTGCGGGGTGGAGAACCCTCACTCCGCGCAAGGGGGATGATCGCACCACGTTGTGTTAAAATGGTCAAGCATCCTCGAGGCAGTTACACAGTGCTTACAACTGTCTCTGGAAGTGGAAGCACCAGAAAATAAATTAAGTCATACGTAGCTGTCATCCGTACGCAAGGAAGTAAGCACAAGATGCCGAACACCCTTAGCAGGATGCAGCTCACCCTTCATGCGACTCGCCGAATACCTCACGGCGCTTCGCGCGTGGTGATGTGAGAGCCTGGTCCGGTGAGAAACCGGCGTGCTCCGTCCCGGCTTTGTAGGGATGCGAGGTCAATGGTCTAACGACTACGGCATGCACGACTATGAGTACACCCCCCCCCCCCCCCCTCCGCCTTGCCTCCGGGTCGAGCACCGCGGTCCTATTCTCTTTCAAAGCGGCCAGGCTGTCCTTCACCAGGGAGGCCACCACCTCTTCCAGGCTGGCCAGCTCGCCGGCCTTGCTCTCGTTTACCAGGTTCACCAGGTTCTTGGCGACGAACTGCGCCGCGTTCGCGCCCCCGGCGGGCGGGGGCGAATCATCCTCCCCGTCGTTTGATTCGGGTTGGACAAACACCTGGAAGAGAGCCAAAAACATTAATCGCGGGTCAGAGATATCTCACCGCAACGCCACGTGTGAAAAGGAGGGAATTCGTCTACGACAGAAAGGCGTTGGGGACGACGTCATATGCATACCCGCTACAGAGATGAAGGGAATCTCCTACGTCTTACAGAACAGCAAATACGATCTCCAGTGTGGCCGGTCTTCCTCCCGCGTGTGCCCCCAGCTGATGTGCCTAGAACATGTTATCATGCGTGCAGAAAATGCCGCCCAGAGTAAAAGGGACGACACGTACACACAACGAGGATTCCTCATCTCCAACCAGAAACAACCAGGAGAGCAGCAGTAGCAGCGGGGGTACGGGTGGAAAGCAGGGAAAAAAAAAGTACTCATGTACTGCTGCGGGTAAGTCTCTACTCCGAGGTATAGCGCCGATGTCTCGGGGACCCTCTAAGTCGAATTAGACCGCCATTTTACCTGCACAAAGGCGTTCTTGATAGCGGTCTCGATCGCAGGCTCCGTGCGCCAGACGAGCGTGAGGGACTTCTTGATAGCCTCGAGAGCGCCGGGGAGCTGGAAGTGGCAGGCCTGCGATTCATCGTCAGGGCGGAAACGACGAGCCAGGCGCAACTACTTCAGCTTGACCATACTCCAAGTAAAAACGAAAACAACGAAAGAAGTCAGGCAAGACCCAAGGCAGCAAAGCGACACAAACACGGGGTAGACGGTGCAGCAAAGCAGTCGTCCCGGTTGTCCCTAGTAGCGTGGATACCGGTCGCGCTTCTGGCGACGATAGCCCACGCGTCCTACCGCTGTTGTGCCGCACACTACAAGCGCTCACACGCGTACACAACATCCCGCCGCCCTCACGTTCGCGCAGTACTACGCACACGCAAGAGTCACACCCCTGCCGCAGATGCACCCTGCGCCGCTACACATCTTCGTGATCACTACCACATAAGCATGGAGCATCGGTCGCAGCACAACGCGGTGTACCCCCCAAAAAGGAAAAAACACAATCAAAAGCCCCGACTCTTTCCTCAAGACAGACACACACCGTAACGAAGTATCTGAGCGTCTCCACCACGTCGGTGACTGTCGTGCTGCCGAGAAGACCCTCGAGGGTAGAACCCGCCGATTGAAACTCCTCGATGAACAGCACCCCTGCCCTCAGGTGGTGGCACTGGGCCGCCTTCATGGCGACTTCCACCTGCTCCTTCGTCAACTGCACGGTGGGGGGGGGGGCGCATGGCGCTGGTTGACTGGGGGAGAGTTGGAGTTTCCGGTCACCAACCAAGTATCGGGAAGAGTTGGGCTGGATGTTCATTCGGGGAGAGAGGGGAGGGGGGGTAAAAGAGGGGTTCGGCATATGGTACGAACCAAGCAGGCGACATTGCAAGTGAATTTGAAAACACCTTGTGTCACTGCAAGCAGGAGAATATTCTCCAAAGTGCTCTCCCGCACGAAAGACGCGAAAGAGGAAATGCGCCCCAACTATTGTCCATTCGAACTTGCGTCAAAGCACATCCGGAAATGTTTTAAAACAAAACTTACCGATCACCGTGCCGACAAGGGCGATGACGACGACAAAGACTGCAAGCCAAGGCGCGAAAAAAAGGCCAAGCACAAGACTTCTTGGTCAAGCACCCTTTGCCCGAACTTGTTCGAAATAAAGCAACGTACACCTAACAAAGTGCAATGCACGACGAAGGTATGCCACGATCAACCAACCGTTTCGCTTGCAAGCACAGGAGGCAAAATTCAACACTGACATATCGACACCCCCGTACACGCACACGCACACACGCACCTCCTCGCCGCCGTCCTGTTCTCCACCGTCGTTGCCATCAACCCCGTCCTCCGCCTCCTTCTGCTCCTTTGCCCCTTCCTCTTCCTCTTCCCCTTCACCCCCGGCTTCGTCCTCGTTCTCCAAACCCACCTTACCCTCCTCTTCCTCCTCCTCGAGGTCGTTATCGCCCTCCTCATCGCTCCGGGCGTCGCTCTCACCATCACCTTGATTCGGTATCGGCGGTGGAGGGGTGGGGGATGGGGGGGGGGCGTACTCGTGTTTTGCATTCCTTACAGGACGGAGTAGTGGTGGGGGGCGGGGGGGCAGAAAAATGGGGGCAGCGGTAGATGGTAGATTTGGGGGTCATGAACGGAGTCGTTTACAAGACCCCCAAGACTATGGAACTAAATATGAGATTTACGGGTGCGTTTCGTTTAGTGTGGGATCGTGTGCGCACCCACGCGGGAAGCGGGGTTCGGGAAGCACACAACCAATTCGGCGACAAGCTGCTCTTGAGAGAGAGAGCTCGACCGGTTTATAACGGAAGAATTCATGGCGGTACCCTTGAAATGATGAACCGGCGACCCTTACCGCGGTGTACCCTCACTGCCAATCACGTACTGCTGTCGCACGCCCTACACAGTCCACACTGTTGTCCCATCGCACGTACTAAACGTCGTCTCCAACCCCCCCCCCCCA